TTTAAAAATATAACTTTGATAGTGATAAATATAATACTACTTAAATAAAATGACTTACGTACTGATAAATGCAAATTGCCTATATAGTAGTCCTTTCAATGATGCTCAAATCAATAGAATTATTATATCTGTTACATACATTTCCTTAGTTTGTATTTTCATAAGTTCCAGTCCAAATGTTGGATTCATTCAAATATTGGTTCTATAATCAAAATGGTATAAAAATATTATTAATTTAAAGATCTTAGAAACTTTGTCCATTTTGAAAATTATTTACACTACATCAAGAATATCTTGTGTAACTCCTATTAAAGTTTCATTTGACTCATTCCATTTCCCATTATGCATAAGTTTTATATATAAGTCGTCAGTATATTCTTCTGAAAACCTTGATATGAACTCATGACATTTATTTTGGATTGAATCTGGGAGTGTGGTGACCATATTATGTGCTGGTTTCTGTTGAGAATTAATTTATATAATTTAAATAATATTACAACAAAGAAAAACAAAGTAACTCTTACTATAAAGTTTTGATACTGTTTTGGTGACAACTTTTCTACTATGATTGAATCATTACTTATAACTCGACTAGCTAAAGGATCTTTCCAGGTTAGGTTTGTAATGAAAATATTTTTCATGTTTTGATAGAATTCTATTGAAAGGGGTGATGAATTGCTCAAAAGTCTTCCTTTTAAATATTGTATATTTTTCTTTATTGTATCATTATCAAGAAGAACTTGTTTACTCTTTACAAATGTATATATTATTTTATATTTATAGATATTATTATTACGAAAATTAATTCGTTATACTGTCTTCAATGCCTTGATATCACGTAGACTACAGATAGTTTCATAGGCACATTTGAACTGATGCAGAATTATATTATGTTAGTCTAACTTTGTAATATATATATTATCCATCCAATTTGTGCACACTATTAGAAATATCATAAAGTTATTATCCTTGTTCAAATGCCACAAGGATGATAACCTATCTAAACCTAACTCCACAAAGTCTAAACACCCTTCACTATGTTCAAAATCATAACTTGTACTTGTAGGCTCAGGCATTTATTTTGACTTTGTCAGGTAATATCTGCACTATCATCATATATATGAAAAAATAACCAAAAAAAAAAATAACCAACTTATAAAGAAATATTGGAAATCTTTCTAAAGCATTCAGAATCTTCGCCAGCAATATTTTTCATGAACCGAATTGCATCAATCGTCAACTTTAAGAGTTTATTTTTTGATATTGTTTGGTCTTCTTCTGTGCCTTTATAAATTATCGATTCTGCTATAATGTGCTTTACTGGTTCATCTTTTATAAAGTCCAAAATTCTATTAAATACAGTAGTCGACATATTCAGTTGCAGAAGTTTTTTGGTAGACTGTTAGTTTGTAAACAATTACAATGTAAATATATTGTCCTTTTAAAATATTTCCTCTACTTATTTCTGCCTCATTTAGGTATGGGAGTAATGGCAGGCATGAGGTGTCTTTTCTTTCAAAATAGATTTAGGAAATGTGAAAATACATACACTATGAGTTAGTCAATCAAATTTGGATTTATATGTCATGAGAAACTACTAACAATAGGTAGGTTATATGATTAAATCATACATGCTGATGATCTATAATCTTCGATTTTATTTTGTGATATGACAGAAATATATTTTGAAGTAATAGTATTCAAGTGCCAAATCAAGAGTGTTAAGATTGTCATTGGTCTATTGACAGGTCTGATAACAGTCAATAACTCGCTAGGGCTAGAATCAAAAAATTTATCCAGAAATAGCTGGTAGATAGTTTGCCACTTCATGTATTTTTATATTGTATAAATAAAGCAATCAGATTTAAATGGTAGTTGATAATTAATTTTGCATATAATAATATATATTTTTTGAGATTTTATTTGGAAATGTAATATCATAATTCCACTATTTGAGATCATTGACCATGATTCATTCGAGATCACTATTCAAAAATATTAATTTCTGTTAATAACTAGAGCTAATAATAATCAATATATTATAAAAAACAGGTAGAGAACTAGTCAGTTAGTTATATTCTTAATAGTTATGAATTTTTCTAATCTCAAAGCTCTTGCATATAATATCTTCAAAAATCATAGGAGATACTATAATTCAAGAAATCGAATCCCAAAAATCTTTAAATGCTTAATATGCACCAAGGATATCTTAGTAATTAGTTATAATACATTTACTACACTCGAATGTGAACATATCTACCATAGACTTTATATAGAGAAAAAACTTCTACTCACCATATCAAATAAGTGCCTCTTTCCTAAATATGAAAAAATTGTTGAGATTATTCATTGGAATCCAAAGTAGGGCTTCGAAAAAGTACCAAACTGATATCGAACTGGTATTGAAATGGTATCGATCTATAGTAAATTTAATATATGGGTTGTGATATACTCATATATTTTTATAGTAAATTTAAGTATCGAACTAGTATCGAAGTGGTATCGTTAGGAGCCCTAGTCCAAAGCAATCTTCTCAATCAAGTAGAATTTCTGCTCTGGCTGATAGAATGGATAATGATCTTGGATTGACTTCTTCAATGTTTTCACTTAACGATCAAATGAAGTCGCCATTATTGACTAAAGGTAATTATGACATTGATACTATATTATTCAGAGGGGTACAGAAAAACGAATTATAAAGTCAGTTGATGAACCATCTAATAAAAAGAAGAAATCCACAAATAGAGATTATTCTCCTATAATAAAAAGACTTATTCAAAAGCTTTCGACTGATGATTCTGAGAATTAAAAAGCTATTAGTTCAGGTTTATCATTATCAATACATGTAAAATTTCCAGTAGCTATAATAGTTTTATTATTCTTATTCTTTATATTGACTGGTATGTCTATAAACCATCCCAATGATTCAGTGCTATGTTTAGAGATACCTTTTATATTAAAGTCAGATGGCTTGTCAGCTTTCCATTCAAGAGCATTAATTGCTGCATTATTCAAGGCTTCAATTTCACTTCCATTATCTAAAAATGATTTAGAAATAGATAAATCGTTTATAATAGCATTTAAGTATAGTAGAGATGAAAACCATTCATCTGATTTTTCCTTCTGAACTGTATAAGACTGGCATATTTTTTGTATTACTGGTGAATGCTTTGGAAATAACTAATTATATGTTACTGATAATATCTGTTTTTTTTTTTATAAATCAAGCTATATATCTTTTTTTTCATTTTATTTATCCTCATTACCTTTCTCATTATCTGAAATATTAGAATTTATTGGTTGAAAGGAATAATATTATTGTGTTTGATTTGATTTGACTACTGATTTTTTGGATTGATTTTTAAGTACCATTTTTTCAAATTGAGATGTCATTTGTCCAATTTCATCTACTTTTGATTCTATTCTATCCATTTTAACAGATTGGTTTGTTTTTTGAAAAGGTTTTTTAGGATAATGTAAATCTAAATCTTTATTACTATATATACAGTATCTAAATCGTTAAAGTATTTTGTTATATAATAATTTTTATAATCTTTTTCTGTTTTTAAATTTGATAAGGGACCTTTTGGCTGTCTAACAACTTCAACAGTTTGTAAAACTGGTGTCTGTGTTTTTTGTGCTTTTGAGAATTGGATTTTCTTTCTCAATTTTTCTATTTCAGCATTATAATTAGATTTTTGTTTCACTAATGCCTCATCAATCATTTTTTATATATTAGGTATAGAAAATACTGATTGTGGAATTATACGAGCTTCTATTATTTTGATGTTATAGAAAGATTGTTGAAAAACTTGACCATTCAAATTTGATGTATACTTCAGTAACATGTTTTTTAGTTCGATAAAAAATGCATTAATGCTTGTTAGATTAGCAATTCTCATTCATGTATAAAAATCACCTGTCAAATAGCTTTTTAGGAATCCTAAAACTTGTATATTATTGTTTGCTACTCCTAATAATAATGGTCAAATTCTAGCTTAATAGTGTTAAACCTAAAAGTTTAACTTTTCCGAAATAGGAAATTTCTTACCAAATATTGATTAAACACATTAACTCGCTAATAATAGACCTATAGTATTTTTATCCGCTGAACAACTTTACTTAGAATCCGGAAAAAGGTTTCAGTCACCA